CCTGCCTTCCTAGAGCTCCTGCAGGTGGGTAATTTGTAATTCTTAAGGTCCATTATCCTGTCAGGGCCTCTGAACTTCAGGGGTTCTCAGGAGTCCCCTGGCCTGCTCTTCGCCTGCTTATGAGCTACTTGACTCTCTAGACTCCCAAATATATGGTGACTGTTATTCTAGTACAGTGATTCCCAAAGTGGGCGCTACCGCCCCCTGGTGGGTGCTGCAGCGATCTAGGGGGGCGGTGATGGCCATAGGTGCATTTGTTTTAACTTTTTTTGTATTACCTTTCTATTCTGAGTTCAATAAATAGTTTCATAATTTCAAACTTCAATGTTTCTAATTTACACCTTTCTTTACTATATTTTACGAAAAAGGTAGAAGCATTAATACATATATCTTTCTGTTTAATTGCTATTAAAATTTTTTAAAAATTAATTTCCAGGGGGCGCTGAGTAATATTTTTTCTGGAAAGGGGGTGGTAGGCCAAATAAGTTTGGGAACCACTGTTCTAGTACTTCCTGGCTTTTATAGGTTTTCCGGTCAGCTTCGGTTATCCTTGGGATGTCACACATACCACACACTGGAACACACAGACATAGACTTAGGAGTATTCATAGATGTGATGCTTTTAATTGGTCTTTAAAAAAATGACAATCACTGTGGAACAGAGGCCTATATGACCGAGGTGTATAATAAACTTTCCATGTAATAAACTTCAGAGGACGCTCTAAGGAAAGCGTGTTATTTATTTGGAGGAAAAATCATGATTCTCTTTAAAAAGGTTCAGACTACTTAAAAATTGGCAACATCTACATTTTTCTTAAAAAGACTCACTGAGCATAATAGCTGCTTCTTTGTATAATTGTTAATATCTGTCTTTTCCTGCAGACAGTGAGCTCTGTGAGGGAAAGCACCCTATTAGTCCTGCTCATGTCTGTGTCTCTACTGCCTAGTAAAGAATATATTCGATTCCTGCATCTAATTGTGTCTCATTAAAAGAGGCAAAACACATTCGAATGCGTATGCAGCAGGGTGGACGGACAGCTAGGCTTTCTGACCTCTTTCCTTGGACTCACTGGTTCATGAACAGAAGGCCTCAGTTTGTCTCTTTGGATTCAAGAGGCCAAGCAAGTCAGTCATTGTTTCATCGAAACCTTTTGAGCAATGTTCTTTATAAACCTTAGAGAAACAGGAGAGAAGACATGGGTCATGCCCTCCCACGAATGTGTAGACAGGCTTAAGTCTAAGAATATAGAGATGGAAGATTTTACCCCCCAATCATCCATGAAGCCATCATACAAATCGTGAGGGTCTGTTTACATACCATGCCTTGTACTAGATATGAACCCTGCCCTCAAGGAGCCCACTGCCCACTGGGGGAGACAGACCTGTTGTGAAATGTTAGTACATTGCAGTATGAGACGTGCAACAGTGGAGCCAAGTAAAGCGTGCAGAAGCAGCATAGAAACTAGCAGTCCTATGAGTAATAGGTGGGTGTTTTGTGGTTAGTCAGTCTGCAAAGAATTGCAGTGTAGTGAAATACTCTTACTACCAAATGGCAGTGAGTTTGGTTGAGTCTGTCAGTAAACCCTTGAACTAGTTAGGTAGCTGACTAATGAAAGACATAAAGATGCCACTTCTTTGATTCCAGCAGTGGCACATTGTAACTGATGCTGGTTCCACCTCTGGGCCAACAGCCCGACCCTCGGGGTGGGAGGTGGGAACCCACGCTGTGACACTGTTGAGTCACCCAGCTTCAGGTCCCCACCTCCACTTGAGGGTGTGATTTTTTGGTCATGTTTCAGCTGTTTAATTAACTTGTTAACTCAGATCGCTTGTTTATGTACTTTGTCACTTTCCCCTTTCTCCTAAGTCCAGAATGGCTAGGAGCTGGGATGTGTGCATGTCCTGGCGGTTGTGCTGAGTTTTGGGTAAATGAGAGTCTGCTGCTGTCTGATTTGCCAGTGCTGTGCTCCATCTGGCAGCAGTGGAAGCTTTGCCCGGGCCCAGTGTCATTGAGAAGAAACACCCAGGGCTTCCAGTTTCATCAGACTCGGCCGTTCACGTTAACGGGAACAAGATTGGCTCACTTGGTCAGAAGCAGCTCATTAGTGGACCAAGGAGTTATTTGACGGTAGTTGTTTCCACACGCTCCAGTGGCGAATTGTTCCCAGGACCCACCTGCAGGCCACATTAGCTCCCAGTCTCCTTCGGGAAGGCACTGATTGTGTGATGTTGATTAAAGAAGAGTTTGCGCTCTCTCTCTGTCCAGTAAGATGGGATGGGTTAGGATGAGAAGAAGGGAATGAACCCTGCTTTTCCCCTTCTCCATAGGCCCTAGACCAGTGATTCTCAACCACGGGACATTTACCATGTCTGAAGACATATTTGGTTGTCACAAATAGAGGTGCCACTTGCATCCAGTGGGTGGAGGTCAGGGATGCTGCTAAACATTCTACGATGCAAGGGCAGCCCCCCTCAACAAAGCAATACTCAGCCCCAAATGTTGGTTGTGCCAAGATCAAGAAACACTGCCCGAGACTGGCATCCCCAGGGGTAGGTGCTTAGCGAGGCGGCTCACATGGTATCAGGATGACTACAGTTTGTCTCTACAGGAATCGGGATGCAGTCTCTGCCCTCCCCCCTCAGGAGTCTGGTGCCTGCCTGCAGTGTTTGCGATGGAAAAATACTTTTCTCTGTTAGTCAGAGGCACTTGGAAAGAGTCCCAGCGAACCTGTTCTAATCTGGGAAAGTTGGCTAGGGTACCTGTGTCTCAGGCTGGCGGAGCTGCATTCTAGAAACCTTTTCCAGGCTGCGTGACGTCCCTGATCATTGTTCTCAGGAACTTCATGGGACCCCTGGGGGATTTTACCCAGGCTCAGGGACCTGCAGCCATCTTATCCAGATTCATGATTTCCTGGCCTGAGGTGCTGCTAGTGAGAGCTGGATGGCAGATCTGGGTGCCTTCCTAGTTTGGTGACTTTGGTTAAATTACTTCACCTGTCTAGGCTTCAGTTTCCTCATCTCGCAAGCAGGATATGCAAACCTGCCTGCATCCTACAAGTGGGCTGCCATGAGGGTCAAATGAACAAATCTGTGAAAGATCACTAATTGTAAAATACTGTGTGTGCACGTAAGTAAGAGGTTGGGATATGTGAGTATATTGAGGAGGTAGCAGTTAGATCTCTGTTTCAACAAGGTCTCTGCAGAACTAGAGATACCAGCTTTTCCTGAGGACTCCTGAGCTGGCCAGGGCTGCCGATGCTCCATCCCAGCTCTGACAGGCAGTTTCCCAAAGCCTTTCGTTACATGCAGCCGGCAAGTGGCCCTTTTATATTATCAAGTTTGGAAGAGCAGGGAGGGGGGTAAGAGATCAACCGAAGGACTTGTATGCATGCATATAAGCATAACGAATGGACATAAGACACTGGGGGGTAGGGGAGGCCAGGGGATTGTCAAGGGCGGGGGAAAAAAGGACACATATGTAATACCCTTTGTAATACCTTAAGCAATAAAAAAAAAAAAATTAATCTAAAAAAAAAAGTTTGGAAGAGCTTTGTGGCCTTATAGGTAATTTTCTGTGTTAAAATCTCTGATCACACTGTTGTTCCTTCCACATCCCAGTTTGTAATGGTTTACATTTATTTGTATTCTTATTTGTTTAATGTCGTGACTGTAAATTCCAGGAGAGCAGTGTCTGTTTTATTCATGGCTGTGTCCTCAGCACCTGGCAGAGGCCTGGCACTTAGTAGATGTTTAGTAACTAATTGCTGAATGAGTGAATAAATGGCAAGGTGGAGAGAAACACGGACTTTGTAGTCAGGCCTGGGTGTGATCTCAGCTCTGAGTGGCTGTGGGCAGTGCCACCGCTTGCATCTCTGTTGCCACCATAGCGCTGCTGTCACCCCTGGCCTGGATCCACAGAGGCCTCTACTGGTGTCCTCATCTCCCCACACCCACTTCCTCTCCCCTCCAGTCTGTTCTCTGTACCTCAGTTGGAAGATCC